AAAAACTTGGATGCTTCACATATGATAAGCCAGAAGGTCAAGTTAATCTTAGAAAACTTAGATGGGCCTGAGTTTGATAACCCAAATGCACAGCATCCTAACACACACACACACACACACACACACACACACACACACAAACACACATACACCCCACCAAGTGATATACACCTGGTTGCCTCCACCCAGTAAATCTCCTGCTTGGTCCTGTCATCATTCATTCTTTCATTTATTCATTCATTCACCCACCCTTTGCTGAGTGTGTACCAGTCACTCCTCTGGGCACTGAGCACCCAGGAGTAAACATGTCTACCCTTGTGGATCTTAAATTCTTCCAACAGAAGATGATAAATCTCCCATCAGAAACAGAAAACAAGTAAAATATATAGGGAGACTTAACTTGGGGTGGTGAAGAACACCCAGTACAATATACAGATGATGTTTTATAGAATTGTACACCTGAAACCTATGTAATTTTATTAACCAATGTCACCCCAATAAATTCAATAAAAAATATTTTTTACAATTTAAAAATCAAAACTGGTTAGATGAAAAAAAATTTTAATATACATAAAATATAAAATATATAGGATTCAGAGAATGAAAAATGCTATGAAAAAAATCAAGCAGAGAAGAAGGAAAGGGACTATAGGGGTATATATATATTTTTTTTCTCCTGACTTTTTATTTTGAAAATGTTTAAAGAACAGTACATTGAATTCCCTAGACACTGCACTTAGATTCACCAGTTGTTAACATTTGATTTATCTCTACACACACACACACACACACACACACACATACACACTGGTTTCTTGTTTGTTTGTTTGTTTGTTTGTTGCTGATCCATTTGAAAATAAGATGTAGATCTCATGACTCTTCACCCCTAAATATGTCAGCATTTATCTCTTAAGAACAAGGACAGGCTCCTATATTAGTATTACTATTATTATACCTATAAAACCTATAATAATAAAAGCATAATATGCTAATTAGACCAGATGTCCTTCTGGACAAAGCCGGGCTGCAAGGGAAGCCCGGGTCCTGGGTGCCAGAGGGAAGCCAGTGCTGGCAGCCGGGGGAAGGAAGGCCTACTCTTGCACAAATTTCGTGCATCGGGCCTCTAGTTAATAATAATTCCATACTATTATTTAACAAAAAGTCTATATTCTAATTGCCCCAAATTATCTTTTATACCTATAGAGTATGCATTTTCTTATTCAAGATTCAGTCAGTGTTCATTCGTTGCATTTGGTTGTTATACCTCATTAGTCTCTTTTGATCTAGAATCCTAGGATAGTTTTGACGGTAGAACCAGCAGCATTGCTGATGGGATGTTGAGTGTGAGGGAAATAGAGGGTGCCTAGTCTTGGGTCTGAGTAATGGAAGGATGCATTGTCCATGGGCAGAAATGAGGAACATGATGGCAGAAACACACTGGAGGAGAAAGATGAGAAGTTCCAATGTGGACTTTAAGTTCGGGGTGTCCATTCTACATCATACTAGAGCTCTGAGGTTAACAGCTGAATCAGAGTCTTGAGGTGTCCATGCTGGGGACATAAAATGGGCAAATGAACAGGCTTTGATAATTGGTTGGTCAGGGAAGGCCTCTCCGAGGAGGTGCATTTGTGCAAAGACCTGAATGAAGGGAGGGGTGGGCCTCTTTTTGGGGGAAAGTGTTCCAGATGAGGGAACAGCAGGTGCAAAGGCCCCAAGTCTGGACTGAGCTTGGCAAGTTAGAGGAACAGCAGGATGTCTGGTGTGTCTGCAGTGGAGTCAGCAAGAGGGGGAGGGGGGGAGGAAGAGGTGAAGTCAGAGAGATCAACAGGGAATAGAGCCCGTGGAGCAGTGAGCGGTTCTCAGCCTTGTCAGACCCAATGTCCTCTTTCTCCGACAAATACTGCCTATGCCCACTTACTCTCTGAAATTATATATAAAATACAGATGTGAAACATAGCTAGATATGTAAATTTTTTAGTATTTTTATTGATTTATTTTAGAAAGACGGGAAGGGAGAGAGAGAGAAACATCGATTTGTCGTTCCACTTATCTATGCGTTCATTGGTTGATTCTTCTATGTGCCCTGATTTGGGGGTCAAACCCGCAACCTTGGTATATCAGGGTGACACTCCAACCAACTGAACTACCAGGCCATGGCTAGATCTGTAAGATTTTTTTTAAATATGTTTTTTATTGATTCCAGAGAGGAAGGGAGAGGGAGAGATAGAAACATTAATAGTGAGAGGGAATCACTGATGGCCACCTCCTGCACGCTCCCAACTGGGGATGGAGCCCACAACCCGGGCATGTGCCCTGATGGGGAATCAAACTGTGAGCTCAACCACTGATCGAACTGTGATCTCACACTGGTCGGGCTGTAAGATGTTTAACAGTAAAGTACAGTTCAATGGTTTTATGATATGGAGTTGTGCGCCCATCACCAGGGTCCATTTTAGAACATTTCATTTCCTCAAAAAGAAATCTTGATCCCCTTAGCTATCACCCCTTAATCTGCAGCTCACCACCGCCCCCCCCCAGCTCTAAGCCACCACTAATCTACTTTCTTTTCTATAGATTTGCCTATTCTGAACATTCATATATAAATAGAATCATACAATATATGGTCTTTTGTGCCTGGCTTCGTTCACATAGCAGGTGTTCTAGATTCATCCATGTTGTAACTTATATCAATACTTCACTCATTGAAATTGATTGCCAAATAATAGTCTGTTGTGCGGGTGGACACTTTCTTTATCCCATTGGACTTTTTAACTAAAAAAGAAATGAAAGTAAGGTGATTTGTCATAAAATCGGATGCATTTTAATGTGTAGATGCTCAGCCAGGACCACAGTAGAAAAGATAGTGAAAGGCTCATACCTAACGTCGCCTGAGTGAGACAGCGGCAAACGCAGTGATCCGGAGGGCGGTATTGGGAATATAAATGGTGCAAGTGGCATTACTGCTGATGTCACGGTTTCCTAAACGGACGGAAAGACTCTTGGTAAAGTTCAGAACAAAACAAAGTACAATCTTCCCTTCGTTTCCTAAGAGTTGCATGCCTGGAAATTGCAGTAGATCTTAAACCCGTGCATAAATAAATAAATAAATACCTGGCCCTTTACATGCATCGTGGTGTTCAGAGATTTATAAACAGACTTGCTACAACATGCATGTCAGGGGGACATTCAAAAGTCATAGAGAGGATCCGGGATGACTATTCACTCTGAGGAGCTGCCTCTCACATTGTGGGTGCAAACATCCGTGGCCCTGCCCACTGAACGCCCATATCTGCCCGTGGTCATTGCCACAACCAAAACGGCTCCCACAGATTCCCAGGTACCCCCAGGGTCTGGCTTGGGGGTGGAGAGGAGAGGCAGAGGTGAGAGAGAGAGCTTCAGGGGCTAGAATCCACAGGTCTGAGGGGGCGTGGGAAGGATTGGGAAGGAGGAATTTGTGTGTAGAAATCCTCTTGGAGACGTGAAAGGAGACCTTTCGTTGTGAAATATCCCCGCTGGGATTCAGATTGATCAATTTCATGGCTGCAGAGGATAGGCGGCGTTGCCAGCTGGGAGAGGGGACCACCATGGTCAGGTGACCGGTTCTCTCCCTGCCTTCTCGGGCGTAAGGTTTCGCTGCCTTCATTTTGCAGAGCAGACACCTGTGTTAGATCGCGAGGGCTGCCATAGCAAAGCCCCGCAGACTCGATGGCTTAAACAACAGAAATTCATTTTCTTACAGACCTGGAGGCCGGAAGTCCAAGTTCAAGGAGTCAGCATGTCTGACTTCTGCTGAGGCCTCTCTCCTTGACCTGGAGCTGGTCTTTCCTCCATGTGTGTTTGTGTCCTAACCTCCTCTTCTTATAAGGACGCCAGTCATAGTGGATCAGCGCCCCCATGACCTTGCTTAGCCTTAATCACCTTTTTAAAGGCCCCATCTCCAAACACAGTCACTGAGGTAGTGAGGGTGAGAACGTCACATATGAATTGGCGGGTCGGGGGGTGGGGAGAGGGGAGAGGGAGGAACAATTAGGCCCATAACGACAACAAAGAGGTTAAGCAGGTGACCATGTCTTAGGGTGGGAAGCCCAATGGAGCAGGAATCCATGAGGCTGAATTGCAGCTCCTTCACTATCTTAGGCCTCAAGTGGCCCATCTGTAAAGTGAGACTAATGATGCCTTGTCTGGGGCTCAGGAGACTTTGTTTTTTTTTAATTGATTTCAGAGAGGAAGGGAGAGGGAGAGAGAGATTGAGACATCAGTGATGAGAGAGAATCATTGATTGGTTGCCTCTTGCACGTCCCCTACTGGGGATCAAACCCGCAACCAGGGCATGTGCCCCTAATGGGAATCGAACCTGAGACCCTTCGGTCCGCAGGCCATCGCTCTATCCACTGAGCCACACTGGCTTGGGCTCAGGAGACTTGTAATGATAGAGAAGGAAGGGCGTGGGCACCACGGCAAGCTTGGAGCGGAGTCCTGGGGGGCCCCACGGGGTCATCCACGAAGCCTTCAAGGTGCTGGAGGTCCCAGCAGACCTAGGGGCATGGGACAGGGTGGCCGAGAGGCCACCGAGGGGACTTGGGTTACCAGCTCTTTTTTAACTAATAGGGAAGCATTCCGATATATTTCCTCTGACTTTCAGAGAGAGAGTGGAAGGGAGGAGGGGGAAAGAGAGAAAGAAACATACATGTGAGAGAAACACATCGATTGGTTGCCTCCCGCACGCACCCCAACGGGAGCTGGGATTGACCCTGCAACCCAGGTACATGCCCTTGACAGGGGATCGAACCCTCCACTCTGCGGTCCACAGGCCGACGCTCTATCCACTGAGCACACTGGCCAGGGCCCCGGTATTTTTTAACAACCAGCAGGACCTACCGGCGCCTGTCACGGGGGCCTGATTTGGGACACTTGAGAGCAGAGGTGGGAGTGACACTGCTGTTAGTGTTCAGGCTGCAATGACCACCCTAACGATCCTCCCGCTCGCTCGCTCCTCGCAGGCCAAGCTGATCGTCCCCAACAGCACGGCGGGCCTGATCATCGGCAAGGGAGGCGCCACGGTGAAAGCCGTGATGGAACAGTCGGGGGCCTGGGTGCAGCTGTCCCAGAAGCCAGAGGGCATCAACCTGCAGGAGCGCGTGGTGACGGTCAGCGGCGAGCCCGAGCAGGTGCACAAGGCCGTGAGCGCCATCGTGCAGAAGGTACAGGAAGACCCCCAGAGCAGCAGCTGCCTCAACATCAGCTACGCCAACGTGGCTGGCCCCGTGGCCAACTCCAACCCCACCGGCTCACCGTACGCCAGCCCCGCCGACGTGCTGACCGCGGCGGCCGCTGCCTCGGCCGCTGCTGCCTCC